TATATATATATATATATATATATATATATATATATATATATATATATATATATATATATATATATATATATATATATATATATATATATAGACTGTCTGACGATCGGTAATATACGTGAAACTTAAGTAGCAGCACATTAAATTTTTAAATTTTTTTATTTTTAATTTTTTCGTTTTGAACAATATATGAGAATAGTAACTTTGAATTTTGTAACTGATCTAATTAAAAACATTCTAATGTTGTAAAAAGTTTTTTAAAAAATTTGCTAAATTTTCGGCTGCAAACTGCTAGCCTTCTTCTGAGCAATGTGGCTATTAAGGCAGATTGAATTGTTTTTCATTATAATTTTACTGTTTGTCTGATGATGTCTTGAGTCGAGATGAAACGTCACCGACAATAATACTTATAGTGAAATGAACAATAACAGTTAAATGACAGTTTGAAAGAGTGTATATTTTGTATCGTTTGAAAAATAGACGAAAGAAGAACAATGGCAGGAAATTCTTTAACAAGAAGCAATCCATCAGTGACAAACCCACGAAACGCGCAGGCTGTCGGAAGCAATGGTTCAAAACATTCCAAATTCCAGCGTCCAGATGCGGATCGAAGCAACATTTCTAATTTTCAGTTCCCTGCCGGTTCTCGTAACCAGTACCTAGACAGAGAAGACAATTGGTTATGCAGCCATTACAAACGACATTGTTACGTCAAATTTGAATGTTGCGACAGCTTTTGGCCGTGTCATCGTTGTCATAACAACCAAAGCACGTGTGGACGAAAGAAACTTAAATCCCGTGACACGCAGTTGTTGAAGTGTGTATATTGTAACAAAGTTCAACAGGTAACTCAAAATTCATGCTGTGAAAATTATGTCTAAGCTAAGGCGTCTGTATTTCCCTGATTTATTATGCCCATATTTTGCCCATATTTATTAATTTATTATGCCCATATTTATTATGCCCTAATTTTTTATTTTTTATTTTTTCTAGAGTGTGTATTGCGCTGGGTATGGAAATTATATAATACACACTCTAGAACATTTTCATCTTAACATATTACAGAGTGTACAATTACACACTTAACATATATATATTATATATATATATATATATATATATA